GTTTTTTTTTTTTTGAAAAATGTACAACTGACATGCCTTTGCCTCCTTTGTTGCTGCCCAGGGCTGAAACCTCATCCGCTCACATCTGCATTTACTTCACTTGCAATCGTCCACACCTCGAAAAATTGGCTTTGCATTCAGACTGAACACATTTTTTTTTTTAAAGTATATTTTTTGGGCTTTTTTATGCCTTTATTCAATAGTACAGTAGAGAGACAGGAAATGGGGAGGCAGAGAGAGGGGGAATGACATGCAGCAAAGGCCGCCCGATGCGGCACTCGAACCGGGGCCGACGTCAGCGAGGACTGTAGCTTCTACACATGGGGTGTCTGCTTAGACCACTACACCACACAACGCCCCCAGACTGAACACATTTTAGCATCAAACACTGTCACATTCAGGGTCAGACAGGGCAATAAAATGTGTCGAAACAAAAAGTCTATGCTCAAACAGCACTGTCCTGCTAAACCAAAACAAACCATCAACAAGGAGGTGAGACTTTAGCTTTATAGAAAAATATTCCAGTATTTTTGGTTTAAATGATAAGAAATCTTCAGGAAGTATTTGATAATGTTTTATAGGACAGTAATAGCAGTAAAATGTCTCCAAACACCAGATAAATAGGGGAAAAAAATCCTAACAAAAAGGTTAATGTGTTAAGATGTATAATCCAGTGCAGGGAACAAACAGAGGGCAACAGACTTAAGTGAAATCTCTGCTCCCACACAGTGAATCAAAAGTTAAATCCTCAAAAATCCAAAGACAAATAGTTTATGATACAACTCAGTTTGACTAAAGCTCATCTCTGAAAACAAAAAGGCACGAGAGCCATTGTAAGCTTGACAATAAAAAGATTCAGACTCTCTGATGAAATCCTCTCAGCGCTTTGAAAGAGAGCCTCAGCTTTGTCGCGTCTCTTTCAGCCAAACATCCCGATAAGCTACCATCTGTAAACTCTGGCGGCCGATCTGTCGAGCCGCTTCGCTGTGAGCTGCGTTCAACACCTCCGTCCACGGCTGCATCAGCCAGACCGTAGCTTCTGATGAATGACTCCGTCTCGGAAACTATGAACCAGGAGTCTGCAGAAACATCTGGATTCGTATTTTCTGATGCTAAAAAGCATTTTAAACATGTGCTGATGTTAAAAGAGCTGGCTGATGCAACTCTGAATGATGATAATTTAGTCGACAAAGGGAGGTGTCAGATTCTGCTGCTATGATTTGTTGTTCTGTTCAGACCTTAATGGATCGTTCTGCAAGAGTGACAAACCAGACTGTGATGGAAAAACTGCCCCCTGCAGAGCTTCATTGATGATTGTTCTGAATTTTTCTTCTTTTCATAATGAAAAAATAAACTTGAATAAAAGCTATTTCATATTTGGAAAGAATATAATGGACTTCACAGGCAATTTCAAATAAAGATAAAATATGTGCAAAACCTGGAAACATTAAAAAAGAAGAAAAAAAAGACATACAGTAAATAAATAACAAATAGGTTATAAAAAAAATAAACTGTCAAAGACGAAGTCATTAATTGTATGTAGGAGAAGACGTTTCTTATAAAAGTTCATGTAAGCCCCTCCCCCCAAAAAAAACCAGACTTTTGATGACTTAATTTTTCCAAAGAAAAGACACTAAACATGGATGTGCCAGAATGTCCTAATCGAATTCAACCATCAGCAAAAAGCTGGTATACATTCAGTGACTCATGATCTTGTAATACAAACACAACACCATTGTCAAGCATTTTCTTGAGAAGTCCTCCAGTTGCTCATAAGGTCACACTCGCATGAAGGAAAAAAAACTGTTTAGAAAATCAAGCTTCCAGAACATAAACAATGTGGCAATTTAGTCAGAAAGTCTTTCAAGAACTGATATGCAGAACCACATTCATAGTTCCATGTGAAGATATACAAGCAATACATCAGACAGATTTTGATCTCGTATACAATATCATACAGACTTCAATAGACATTGACGCAAAACTTCAGAACATCCAAAAAGCAGGAGTCACCTGTTGAACGCTGGAACGAGTGTGGCTGTACATGAACCTGTCTATTTCAAGTGGGCAAAAGCCTTTTTTATATCAAATCTTGCCAACAGCTGATGATTATACTTAATGTTGCATGAAAATCTGCTTAAAAGAGTTCAATGTTGTGCTCTTACAAAACGTACCTGCCTCCTAGATTTTTTATGAACTGCTCATATCTGTGTTTATCTCATAAAATCGGTAAATGAGTTTTCATGGGCAAACTCTAAATAAACTCAGCTCTTATATTGATTTTCCCTTTAATAGCCGCTTCAGTGTCATAAACACAGGACTTTTTTACCTTGAAAAGCTGGAACTATGCTTGCTCATCATTTTCTTATTGTTGTTATTATCATTTCTTCCAAACTCCTCTCCCCAGACGGTACTCCCCACCCTGACTCACCGTCTCCGGTCTCCATCAGCTCGGCGTTGCCGTACTTGGGCGTCTGTCTCTGGGCCACGGTGCCGGCGCCCGGGGCTCTCTCCACCTGGATCCCATCAGTGGCGGTGGTGTTGGCGGTGTTGTTGGTGTAACCGGTGACATCTGGAGGGGCAGAGTGGTTCTCTGGGATGTGAGAAAACGGGGGGGATCGAGGAGGGAGGGAAGGTCTGGTTAGTACCCCCACACCCCCACACATTCTGCTGTTAAAACATTTTTAATGGGGATTCTTACAACCAAGACGAGATACATGACAGTGATTGGGGTTAATTATGTTGTTAGTTCAAATAGACATCCCACTGCTATAGTACACGAGGAATAAGGATTTTTACACACCAGTTAGCTTAGAACACAGAGAACAGGAACATTATCAGAAGAAGATTTAAGTGTTCTTGCTCACGCTGGAAACTGCAGCTGCAGGGTAATAATTACTTGCTTCTGAAATGTCGTTTGGCAGCTACAATTAAAGTTGAAGCACTGTAAGTAGCTGAAGTGTATGTGCTGAATTGTGAGGAAGTTTCAGTTGAACTGGAACTGGTGAAATTAGCTGAAGTGTCTTCAGAAATACAAGTAATGAAAGAAGTTGAGGTGTCTGTCGAAGCGACTCTTCTGTAGGAAATGTTGCTGGTAAATTGTAAAATGCCGTACAGGCTGAGGGTTGTGTGACACTTGGTAACTTCAGAAACAAAAGTGAGGCCAATCAAGTCGACAAATGGTTGACATTGGATTTAATGTTTGTTTGACGTCTGATTAGAAGGAAACATGGGCAACAACGGATCAAAACTGAACAGAAACAATGTCCTGCAACTAGAGCTAAAGTGAAGTAAAATCCTGTAGGCATTATTATTTATCCTCAGACTAAATAACGAATGTTTCTCTCCAATGGACAGGAAGTTATTCAGCTAAAGCACACTGCGAGGAGTTAGCACAAGAGAATTAAAATCCCTGATTAGTATCTGTGGTTGGACGATCTAACACGAACTTCCTGCAAAGAAATGTTCAGCGTCAATGAGAAGCAGTACCACAACTCCCTCCAGAATCCTGCCATCAGTTCCTCACTGATTAACTTGTGTCTACAAAAAAATCCCAATCATCTCAAACTGCCCATCATCACATACTGTGACGTCTGCCTCTCTATGAAGAAAAAAAAAAAAAAAACAGACTCAATTTCCTTCGACACCCACACCTCAACATTCATTTTTAGGTCATTTCACCCCCTATTTTGTGCTACGTTTAGAATGTGTTTCAGCCTATCTGGTGCGCCTGATGTTTCAAAGCTCCCACCATGACTCAAATACTTCACATTTACCTCTTTCATGAGGCTCGGCTGCTGTTCAACATCAAACGGTATTTACTGTTCTGCCCGAGGGATTCTTTACTTTGAGTGGTCGGAGCATGAAATGATGCAGGGAGGAGGATGTGTGGTGAATCTAAATAGTGATGCGTGTAGGTTCAGCCTGTGTGTTGTTTACTGTCCCTTTGTGTTCGCTCACTCGTTTTATTCAACTGAACTTTATCCTTATGAGGGCTATGTTTGCATAATGTTCGTTTTTACGACTGTTTTCAAAAATGTTCAAAAAAGGGCTTTATGTGATGGAGGCATAGAGAACAGATGCTCAATATTTTGCTACAATTAGCATTCAAGTCTTAACTGGAATAACTCACTCCCACCTTTACTCTTAAAAGTGCAATTCTGAAAGTGGAATTATGTTGTCGTAAATGAAAGCATGAACAACAACAAAATGAAGGAACGTAGGCAAGTATCTCTACCGAATGCTAGTGGCAATGGTGGCAGGCCAACTGACGTACCTCCACAATGGCTCATATCTGAGATGACGAAACGAATAGAGAGGATTGAGTACATGACCTTTGCCCTGAAAAGTCATGTTTAAAGGCACTATTTGTAAGCTTTGCTGTTGCTTTATAGCTAATGTTAGCATTAACAGCTGTTTACTTACCAGTCTGGAAGAAACACTGGGAGTTCAGCATCAAACTTCATTCCTTTACTCACCAACAGCTGTTTCCAGGTTTGGAAAGCAACCCTCTTGTTTTTCTATTTCTATCACATCTACTGAAGTTGGCATGCTAACCTGCTAGCCCTGGCCAAATTGGACTGTCTTGTCACTTTCCGATACTGAATCACTGTAGTGTCCAGTCTGTTTTGAAGAAGTAGCCCTGCTCAGGACATATTATAACTTCTTGTCTTGTAGACGCAACGATGGCTGAAGCTCTTGGCTAGACTGGTAAGTAAACAACGGATAATGCTAACGCTAGCTTTGTAGCAATAGCAAAACTTACAGTTTGCTCCTTTAATAAGAAGTAAATAGTAGTTGACAAAAAATGGTCAAATTACTTTCTTGAGCTCTAAGGTCTCGCCATTCTGAAAAACGTTTGGTTGCAAACTCAAAACTGTTTGCAACCAAAAATTTCCCAACAAAATATTGAAACGACATCATGGGTGTGTCTAAGTGGTCTTTTCTATGAAACCAATTTGATTTATAAGGTACCGTGAGTGTCTCACTCAGAGGCACATCAGCTGGGTGGGAGTTTGAAATCACTTATTCCAATAGGACAACAGGACAACTGCCTAATATGACATATGCATGATCCAGTAATCAACCACAGTTATCAATGGCATGATAGAGAAAGGCTAATCAAAGATAAGATGTACCTCATTACATGGCTGTGTATAAATATGTATACACTATGATATACACATCATCAGGATCTTCCAACATAAGAAGAAACTAGGTATATTCAACAAAGATAAAACCAGTTAACTTATGCCAGAAAAAGTCGACAAAAACTTTTTCATTTGACTCCACTGAAAATCACAATTGGAGGATGTACCTTTTTTCTTTAGTTCTAAAAGACCCTCAGAAAAATGGACAGGGAGAGAGGTTGCCAATTGATTTAATCCTGAACTCTCTGCCTCCTTCTTTATTTATTCCCTCTCAGCTTCCCACATGGAGCTCCGCAGCCTCAGTCAAGGACCAGAAGATAAAAGGGATCAAACTACTTCAGCCCACCGCCCTTCACAGCATGAAGGTTCTCTCAGTGGAAAGGCAGCAGAGGAAGTTACAGCTGAGGGGTCTTATTCAGATGTGCTGCTCATGTACACAAAGAAACCACTCTGTCATCAGTCCATAATTAAATCCATTGATGATTATTCCTTTAAAACCAAGCTATTTGATATGCTGTGACTCAAAATGGTATATTGCCTGCTTTTTTAAAATGGTGACTAGAAGTTCAAGTATAAATTTCTCCTTTTGAAATAAAACTATGAATTTTCTTTAATATGTTGGCATCTAGTTCTCCATTTTAAACACGGGTATTTTCATATTTTGAAGGCCATTCATTAAAGCATGTTGACTAAGTCTGTGGAGTTACAGTTACTTGACCATTAACCACCAAGTTATTTTATGTCACTGGTTGTCAACTATAACTTCTGTAATGTTTCACTTGCCAGAATTAACCTGTGAATTAAATATATTTTATTTCCTTGGGTTTTCCGTAATATGAACCTAATATTTCTCCTGTTCATTCCCAACAGAAGGGAATCATGAACTCCAACACCTCTTGGTCATTTTTCCAGGGAAAGAACTACAAGTCATAGCAAGTGACTTGAAATAGCAAAAAAGAAATAGAAAAATATTAGATATTTGAAAATGAAAATGCCTCCGGATTATTATCTTGTTTCTTTTTTCATGTTCGTGTTTTTTCCTTATTGTGGTCAACTTTAGATTTTCCAAATCAAATGTAAAAGCCTCATATCATGTTAAGTTTTGGTGTTGTTGGATTTCAATAAACAGAATCTTTCAGGATAATATTGTTATATTTTGGTTGATATAGATAATATATAAACAGGGGATCAATAAATCTTCATATGGTATCATAAACACAATACATAATATGGTTAAAGTATGTAGAATATAGTAGTATAACATCCATATGTGGAAGTTGGAAATTAACCTGCTGCTCTATCAGCCTCCATTCTTCTGGTTTTAGTCTTTCTACCAGATGTTGAAGTAGACTTCAGGGATTTACTCCCATTCAGCCATGAGACCTTTAGTGAGGTCCAACACTGATGTTGGGGATGAGGTCTGGCTCACAGTCGCTGTTCCAGTTCATCCCAGAGGTGTTGGAGAGGGGGTTGATGTCAGGACTCTCAAGTGCTCAAAGAGCTGGTTTTGAAAAAGGAAAGGGTTCTTCCCCAAACTGAGGGAACTGAGGGGCAAAACTGAAACCAGCGGTAAAACAATACAGTATTGAATGCTTTCATTTCTTATCTGCTCGTAGTATTCATCACTGCTGCTGTTATAATACGTACTTAATTGTACTTCTCAGCCATACAAACAGAGCTTTGCTGCACACAAACTTCCAGTGACAGAACAAAGATGTATTTTCACTCTGATCTCTCAGTCTCCCTCCTTACTTAATATTTCATCATCGCTTGTTCTCTCGGGGAGAGCGTGAGCTTCTATATGGACAGTTAGATGGCTATAACATATACACCATACATACTTTATACCATATATTTAGGCAATAATTTACTCTTTGGGGCAAAATTCGCATGATAAAAATACTAAAATTCAACTTACTAGATTTAAACTAGTTGTATTGTCTCATTGGAAAATCGAAACTTAATCTAACTTAGTGTCTCAGTTCTCTAATTTCTTCTACTTCCTGTCATCTATGCACTCCATTTTTCATCTTGACAGTTCTATGACATCTATGAGAGGCCTGCTTTTATGCCAAACGCAAAAAAATACCGACAACTTTTTGATGCACTGAGATGCTCTTGGAAAAGTTGGTTCTCTTCCATTGATTCATGCCAATAAACCTGGCAAAAATTAAACTGAGCGTGATTGGAAAGCTTTAGAAAAACGAAAGATACATAGTGAGAGAAAAACAGAGTGAGATGATTCCCTGCAAAAGCACCGAGCCAAAGCCAGCGAGACCAAACAGAATTCTTTATCCAGACATGGACTGCATATCAATACTGCAGCGCACAGCACAGGCATGTTAATTACTGTAGCACGCTGTACATTCTGTCTCTGCAACATCTGGGGTGTCTGTTTGAGCTACACTGAAATAGACATGCTCTGTCTGAAGTCCTGTGTTGT